TTATGTTTGATTTGGCATCTGTTTTTAATCTCCCTCTAGAACACTACACTCTTTTTCTCTTTACTTTGGGCAGTATGGCCATTTTCACAATATTGATTCTTCCTATCCATGAGCATGGAATGTTTTTTCCATTTGTTTGTGTCTTCTCCCCTTATTTCCTTGAGCAGTGGTTTGTAGTTCTCCTTGAAGAGGTCCTTCACATCCCTTGTTAGTTGTATTCCTAGGTATTTTCTTGGGAAAACTGGCTAGCCATATGCAAAAAACTGAAACTGCTTCCTTACACTTTATACAAAAATTAACTCAAGATAGATTAAAGACTTAAATGTAAGACCGAAAACCATAAAAACCCTAGAAGAAAACCTAGGAAATACCATTCAAGACATAGGCATGGGCAAAGACTTCATGTCTAAAACACCAAAAGCAATGGCAACGAAAGCCACAATTGACAAATGGGATCTAATTAAACTAAAGAACTTCTGCACAGCAAAAGAAACTATCATTGGAGTGAACAGGCAACCTACAGAATGGGAGAAAATTTTTGCAATCTACCCATCTGACAAAGGGCTAATATCCAGAATCTACAAGGAACTTAAATAAATTTAGAAGAAAAAAACAACCCCATCAAAAAGTGGTTGAAGGAGATGAACAGACATTTCTCAAAAGAAGACATTTATGCAGCCAACAAACATATGAAAAAAAGCTCATCATCACTGACCATTAGAGAAATGCAAATCAAAGCCACCATGAGATACCATCTCATGCCAGTTAGAATGGCAATCATTAAAAAGTCAGGAAACAACAGGTGCTGGAGAGGATGTGGAGAAATAGGAACGTTTTTACACTGTTCGTGGGAGTGTATATTAGTTCAACCATTGTGGAAGACAGTGTGGCAATTCCTCAAGGATCTAGAACCAGAAATACCATTTGACCTAGCAATCCCAATACTGAGTATATACCCAAAGAATTATAAATCATTCTACTATAAAGACACATGCACAGTGTTTACTTCAGCACTATTCACAATAGCAAAGACTTAGAATCAACCCAAATACCCATCAATGATAGACTGGATAAAGAAAATGTGGCACATATACACTATGGAATACTGTGCAGCCATAAAAAATGAGTTCATGTCCTTTGCGGGGACATGGATGAAGCTGGAAACCATCATTCTCAGAAAACTAACACAGGAACAGAAAACCACACACTGCATGTTCTCACTTATAAATGGGAGCTGAACATTGAAAACACACGGACACAGGGAGGGGAACATCACCCACCAGGGCCTGTTGGGGGTGGAGGGCTAGGGGAGGGATAGCATTAGGAGAAATACCTAATGTAGATGATGGGTTGATGGGTGCAGTACACCACCATGGCACGTGTGTTCCTATGTAACAAACCTGCATGTTCTGCACATGTATCCCAGAACTTAAAGTATAATAAAAAAGTGGGCAAATGAAATGAACAGACGTTTCTCAAAAGAAGACATTTATGCAGCCAACAAACATATTTTAAAAAGCTCAACATCACTGATCATTAGACAAATACAAATCAAAACCACACTGAGACGCCATCTCACGCCAGTCAGAACAATTATTAAAAAAATCAAGAAACAACAGATGCTGCAGAGAAATAGGAACGCTTTTCCACTGTTGGTGGGAATGTAAATTAGTTTAACCATTGTGAAAGACAATGTGGTGATTCCTCTAAGACCTAGAACCAGAAATAACATTTGACCCAGCAATTCCATTACTGGGTATATACCCAGAGGAATATAAATCATTTTATCATAAAGATACATGCACATGTATTTCATTGCAGCACTATTCATAATAGCAAAGACATGGAATCAACCCAAATGCCCGTCAATGATAGTCTGGATAAAGAAAATGTGGTACATATACACCATGGAATACTATGCAGCCATAAAAAGGAACATTATCCTGAGCAAACTAATGCAGGAACAGAAAACTAAATACTGCATGTTCTCACTTATAAATGGGAGCTAAATGATGAGAACACATGGACACATGGAGGGGAATAACACTCACCAGGGCCTACTGAAGGGTAGGAGGAGGGAGAGGATAATGAAAAATAACTAATGGGTACCAGGCTTAATACCTGGGTGATGAAATAATCTGCACAACAAACCCCCATGACACAAGTTCACCCATGTAACAAACCTGGTTTGAAAATCATCCTGTGAGAGTGGTGAGGTACATTCTTCTTGGATTTTCCACACTCCCAACAGGGCCTGGGGCTTCTGTGTAGCAATAACAACCTTATCTCTGTGGAAGCCACATATTATGCATACTACTTTGCTGACATTTGACAATCATAGGTGGAAAAAAGGAAGAAGTAAGGAATTAAAATTAGCAGGCACCATGGCATGCTTTTCCAAGGAAACAAGAGCCTTCCTTTACACTGGGAACATATGAGCACTATTAAACTGGTCTTTGATTAAGACCCATGAGAGGAAATTGTGGGGTAACTGGTACCTTATCTGTAGTCATTGCAATCACTTTATGACTGTGGGGTTCACAATCACTTTTAACATAAAACTCCGTTGAAGGAGACTCATATTGCTAAAGGTTACTCAAAAACAAAGGTTAAACTGAGAAGAACTTTATGCTTTAAAAATGGGGGCCGGGCACGGTGGCTCACGCCTGTAATCCCAGCACTTTGGGAGGCCGAGGAGGGTGGATCACGAGGTCAGGAGATCGAGACCATCCTGGCTAACACAGGTCTGAAACCCCATCTCTACTAAAAATATAAGAAAAAATTAGCCGGGTGTAGTGGCGGGTGCCTGTAGTCCCAGCTACTTGGGAGGTTGAGGCAGAAGAATGGCATGAACCCAGGAGGCGGAGCTTGCAGTGAGCTGAGACCGTGCCACTGCCCTCCAGCCTGTGCAAAAGAGCAAGACTCTGTCTCAAAAAATGGGCTGGGCCTCTTCATCTTCCTAATTTATTTTTGCTTTTGTTTTTTTTCTATCCTGGAAGTTTTGTACAAAGAAGATCATGTTGATGAAAAGAGTAAAACTCTTTAAAATATTTGAAAAGATTTATTCTGAGTCGAATATGAGTGACCGATGACCCATGAAAACTCTCAAGAGATCCTGAGAATGTGTACCCCAGGTGGTTGGGCTACAGCTTGGTTTTACACATTTTAAGGAGACATAAGACATCAATCAATATATGTAAGATGTACAACATTGGTTCTGTCCAGAAAGGTGGGTTAACTCAAAGTGGGAGCTTCTAGGTCATATGTAGATTCAAAAATTTTCTGATTGGCAATTGGTTGAGTTACGTTATTGTCTAAAGACCAAGAATCAATACAAGAGAATGTCTGCATTAAGATAAGGGGTTGTGGAGACCAAGGTTCCCATTATGCAGAGGACGCCCCCAGGTAGCCGGCTTCAGAGAGAATAGACTGTAAATGTTTCTTACTTGAGTTGATTCTCTCCTGAATCAAGAAAGAGGCCTGCACAAGAAAGGGGATTCTCTTGAGAATGTACATTTTCCCCCACAAGAGACAGCTTTGCAGGACTATTTCAAAATACAGCAAAGAAACACATAGGGTAAAATACTTTTGATTTCTTTCAGGGCCTGCTATCTGTCATGTGATGCTATACTAGAGTTAGGCTGGAAATTGGTGTCTTATTGCTACAGATCTGTTAGTCTTAAGTTCTGTTCTAATGTTAATACTGGTCAGCTGTACATGAATTCCAAAAGGGAGCAGGGAATAATAAGGCATGTCTGACCCCTACGTCCCATCATGACCTGAACAAGTTTTTCAGGTTAACTTTGGAATGCCCTTGGCTGAGAGGAGAGATCCATTCAGATAGTTGGGGGGCTTCGAATTTTATTTCTGATTTACAATAGCATGAACGAAGCAGAGGTCTGACTGCTTCGTTCCACTGAGTGGTTATTCTGGAACATTGCTCAGGGTACCATCTTCTTACTCTTGTTTGAGCAGCACTAAATGAAAAGGTCCCCTTTCACCTTGTAATCAGCAGGAAGTGGGATTATCTTGAAGATGCTGATGATGACAAAATAAACTTGAAGGATTGTTCATCTGCTTTTGAGCTAGGGAAGGTGTAACAATATGCTTCCTAGGCTGGGGGTAGGGGAGAAAAGGCAGAAGAGCCTCTGGGCTTAATGAATTTTTTGCTTGTGTTTCTTTTGAAGCAGTAGGATCTTTGGGGCAGAATGGCTCCTATTCCCCTGTGTCCCCCACAAGAAGGGAGGACAGAATTTGGGGCATAGTGGATCAATATTCAGCTGCTACCTTCCCATAAATCCTATGAGTAGCCACCTAGTAAGTTTCTCTTTAGAGTTCAGAATTTGGACGGAACTAGTCAGCATAAATGGAACTCAGCTTTATGTGGGAATACACTGTTGTCTCACCAGGAATCTGCTTCACCCCTTCTTGCACATATTTGTGTTCCCTAAAGGGGCAAGGTGGTAAGGAGGATGGCATAATGGCAGAGGTAGGGAGGGGGAGTGGAGAAGGATGTATGGGTCAGTGCAAACTCACAATGACACTTGATAAACTTCTGTGATGTGCAGGGCCTATTGTTGATGGCAACTCAGGGATGTCATTTCATGAAAGGAGACCTCCTTGTCATTTTGTTTAAATGGCCTTTTTTTTTTTTTTTGATGTGGAATCTCGCTCTGTTGCCCAGGCTGAAGTGCAGTGGTGCGATCTTGGCTCACTGCAACCTCTGCCTCCTAGGTTCAAGCCTCCCACGTAGGTGGGATTACAGGTGCCTGCCACCACCCCCAGCTATTTTTTTTTTTGTATTTTTGATAGAGATGGGGTTTCACCATCTTGGCCAGGCTGGTCTTGAACTCCTGACCTCGTGATTCACCCGCCTCAGCCTCCCAAAGTGTTAGGATTACAGGAGTGAGCCACTGTGCCCAGCCTTAAATGGCTTTTTAAAAACAATTTGCACCTATACCATACTAACCACAATTGGCACACAAAAACAAATATATTGCGAATTTGCCTCTTTATTGATAACATAAGTTCAGAGGAGATAAGGGTAGCCTGAGCGGCACGGGCAGCCCAGGTGTCAGTGGCACCAGAAAAACCCATCTCCAAACTAGCTCCTGAAGAAGGATGGCATTCTAGGGCTCGTCCAAGATGATGTAGACACAGTTGTCTGGGTCAGCAAGTAGTTCATTGGCGAGCATTAATTCCCTCTGATACCGCTTACATCTGGCCCTTTTATTCTTAAACCAAACCTACAATCAGAGGGAAAAGGGGATTGGTTCAGTATATTGAACAGTTAATGTCATAATAGAAAAACACAGTATGCAGCTTTATATGCTATTGTGATTTTAGACTGCATCAGGAGAAGCTATTTCCTCATTGCTAAAATACCTTAGGAAAGTTAACAACACAGCCCCTGGCCCTTCAGCTCACCCTTAGTGAGCACCAGCTTTGTGCCAAGTCCTGGAATAAGCTTATTACTTTGTATCTCTCTTCTCCATTTTATTATTTATTTATTTATTTATTTATTTATTTATTTATTTATTTATTGAGACAAGGTCTTGCTGTTTTGCCTGGGCTGGGGTCCAGTGGTGCAATCATAGCTCACTGTGACATTGAACCCCTGGGCTCAAGAGATCCTCCCACCTCATCCTCCCAAGTAGCTGGTACTAGAGGTACATGACACTATGCCCAGCTGTTTTAATTTTTCTGTAGAGATAGGGTCTCGCTATGTTGCCCAGGCTGGTCTTGAGCTCCTGGCCTCAAGCGATCTTCCCACCTTGGTCTCCCAAAGTGTTGGGATTACAAGCGTGAGCCGCTGCGCCCAGCCCCAGTTTTAATACTCTTTAATGGTTACTTCCAGGTATTGGATGCAGTTCTGGCTTATGAGTTGTTCCAGGTCCTTGCTGTTAATTCAATGCCTGGCAACAGGGTAACAAAAGGTGTGCATCTGACAAGTGACCATCAGCTGTCCAGCTGCCGCCTGCTCCCTCCTCACTAGGAGTTTCACCTTGTTCGTGGGAGAAGTTCGGCATGGTAAAAAGTGGGCCTAATTTCAAATCGTTTTCAGGGGACTGTTTAAAAAATCCATCTTGGTATGTAGTAAATAATAGGAAAGAGCACACTGGAAATTTTAGACAGGTTTCCTTCCAGGATGTCTAAGGGATCATTTGTCCTCTGGCAAGAGAGGCCTGGACACTGTCTTGATAATTTTAGCCTGTAGCATTAAGGAAAGTTGAAACCAACTCGACCCAAATTAACTGAAACGCTCAAAAATCTTTACCCGCCCAACAGTTTAGGGGAAAGAGGCATACCATTGTCACCAATGCCAAATCTTCGTTCTCCAACCTGCTGCACCCTCCAAACCTTCCTGGGCTCAGGACAAGGTCAGCTCACTCTGTTTTAGCTACAGCTCCAGGATCCTGGACTGGAGGTGCTGTAGCCCAGTGTGGCAGGGCACCCTAGGCCCTGCTACTCAACCAGGAGATCTGAATCCCACCCCTAATCCTAAGGCAAAAAGGTGGAACCAGCATTTTAGGAAGATGGTTAACATCAATGTGGGGGAAGAGTCACAAATATGGCTCCTCCCTAAATATCTGCCAACAATTAAAAAGCAAACAGACAAAGAGAACCTGTCAGTTACATGTCACTATCCTCTCAGCGTCCTCGTTAATGGAGTTTATATTGTATTTATTACTTTCAAAAGTTCTCAAACTGCAAGTTGTTTTTGTTGTTGTTGTTGTTGTTTTTTGAGACGGAGTCTCTCTCTGTTGCCCAGGCTGGAGTGCAGTGGCCGGATCTCAGCTCACTGCAAGCTCCGCCTCCTGGGTTTAGGCCATTCTCCTGCCTCAGCCTCCCAAGTAGCTGGGACTACAGGCACCCGCCACCTCGCCCGGCTAGTTTTTTGTATTTTTTTTAGTAGAGACGGGGTTTTACCGTGTTAGCCAGGATGGTCTCGATCTCCTGACCTCGTGATCCGCCCGTCTCGGCCTCCCAAAGTGCTGGGATTACAGGCGTAAGCCACCGCGCCCAGCCTTCAAACTGCAAATTGTAAGTGGCACAAAGGGCCTTCTTTCTCTGCCTGACATGTCTTTTTCACTTTCCCATTTAAGGATTTGCAGTCTTTCTGCTGCATGAGGCCAGTCTCTAAAAGTCTAAAAGAGCTCATTTTGGGAGGTTTCAAGTGTACCACTGGTCAAATCTATAAACATAACCCAAGTGTACAGTGGGTTAACTGGTATGTTCTGATATTAGGTCTACATTCCCAATACTGGTTTCATAAACCAGTTGCATTATATCCGCAAAAGCTATGGGGACACTATGTATTACTTTCTTGGGGGAAATTTATGCTGTATAGTTTGGAGATACTTGAGAACATTCTGTCTCTTCCCTTATTTGCATCTTGTGGCTCATATTCTTTTCAGAGAACTATGGAGAGAATATTATGTAAACCCAGGGAGGGGAAAAACAACTCACCAAAACCTTGTTTTTCTTTTCCTCTGAGTTTGCCTTACCAGCCCAAGAACAGCGGTCCCAACCTCTTTTCAACTTCTCCAACCCGAACCAGGTGTGACTGTGAGCCCACCCTTTGCCATTAGGATGTCAGCACTCAGTGACCTGCTTTGTTAGGCTGCTTTTTTGAACAACCCACCACAGATCTGCAGTGCATTTCCCTCACTACACTCACACATGAACTCTGCATAAAAGCTAATAATAAGGTCATCCTGATTTTTGTTTTCTTTTCTTTTTTTTGAAAAGATCACTTTCATACTATGTATGGTTTTCTTTAGTCTTAAGTGGTCATCATTTGAATCCTATGACCTACAAATTAGTTAACACTGCTTAAAGGAATGAAAAGTATTTGAAATTAACATGGGTGTGAATCTACTCTAAAATGAGGGCCACCTCTCCAAACAAATTCCAGAAAACCGACGCCTTCAAAAAAGTACCACCAAAAAGAAATATAAATCCTTGGATGGATAGAAATTCCTCAAGAGAATAGTCACTTACACATTTAGTAGTTTGATAATGTTGAATTTGTATGGTATGTGCAAAGCCTATTTTGCCCATATTTTTCTCTAACCTTTTCACCCTTCTTGGTCAATTGAAATGAGTTCAATATTACTCAATTACTCATTTTGTTTCATTCTTTAGACAATTTTCCAAAGCATAGAAACCTTACAAACCTTCCTCAATTCCAAAATAATGTGACTATTTTAGCAATATTTTCAGGTTGACACATCAAAGTATTTTAGAAAATTAAAACTTAGCACTGCCACTGTCTATACTGCTTTACCAATAACTTAAAAACAAAAGGAGGAGGACCAGGGGCTTGGACATTTAAGCTATCTTCCCATCAGTCTCAGCTTAACTAAATATACATTATTTAGTCATGTAACGCGTTCTATGGGTGAATTAGTCCCTCATCCCAATATTTATAAATTCACTCATTTAGCTAAGTGTTTATGCCTGGCTTTAAATAATTTAGTACACTCGAACCCTCTTATAACCCTGCTCCTCCCTGCATTAACTTGAATACTTCTAAGGTAAGACTGAGCCCCACCATGACTCTACACAGAAATTGCTCCTAAAAGATACCAGTGTTAGAAGGAGTCGAATTTTATTTATTGGATACATACATATATGTATATATGTATTTTATATATGTATATATAAAACACATATATGTGTTTCTTATGTATGTATTTGTTTAATTTTGTACACAGATTAGGAGAAGCAGTTTTTTGTTTTGTTTTTCCTTTAGTCAAATCATGTTCCCTAATGGGAATAGGAAAGAGGAAAGAACCATAAGCTGGAGCTTACTCCCTTTTCTACCGACAAAGAACCCAAACTTCAAAACTTATTTGCCAACATAAAAAAGACAATAATAAAAACAACAACTTTAGAATGTTCAGGACAAAGCCTTCAATGCCCTGAAGCAGGTTTTAGAATGGCTGCCCTCTCAAATTGCTTTTTCAAGTGTACTGACCCGCACTTTGTCTTCAGTCACACCTAAGTTTTCGGCAAGTTCCCTTCTGTGGAGAGAAAATCACACATGGTTAGTATTCAAGGTTGTGGATGGAACGAAATATATAGTATGTACTATATACTTCATGCTTGTTTTACAATTTATAATCTCCCCCTCTCACACCTCCCCCAAGCATATACTTTTCTCTAATTCCCAGGTCCATGGTTGCTTTAGAAATGGTTTACCCTCATCACAAAATTTAAGGTGATGTTAACAACTCAGTAATCAAGAGAAATTTTTTTTTGTTCTTTTTTAAATTGAGACAAGGTCTCACTCTGTCTCCTAGGCTGGAGTTCTGTGGCGTGATTTCAGCTCACTGCAACCTCCGCCTCTAGGGTTCAAGCGATTCTCGTGCCTCGGCCTCTCGAGTAGCTGCGATTACAGGCACATACCACCACGCCCAGTTGATTTTTGTATTTTTAGTAGAGATGGGGTTTTGTCATGTTGACCAGGCTGGTCTCGAACTCGTGACCTCAGGCGATCCGCCTGTCTCAGCCTCCCAAAGTGCTGGGATTTGGGGCATGAACCACGGCACCCCGCCAAGATGAATAATTTTAATGCATTATTATTATTATTATTATTTGAGACAGGGTCTCACTGTCGTCTAGGCTGGAGTGCAGTGGCAGGATCACTGTTCACTACAGCCTCCATGTCCTGGGCTCGAACGATCCTCCTGCCTCAGTCTTCCAAGTATCTGGGAGTACAGGCACGCATCACCACACCCACCTGGCTAATTTTTAAAGTTTTATTTAGAGACGGGGTTTCACCATGTTGCCCAGGCTGTTCTTGAACTCCTGGATTCAAGCAATCTTCCCACCTCGGCCTCCCAAAAGTGCTGGGATTATAGGCCTGAGCCACCGTGCCTGGCCCTAATGCACTATTTTAACAAATAACAATTAATGCAAAAATTTGTGATGAGGGCCAGGCGCGGTGGCTCAGGCCTGTAATCCCAGCAGTTTGGGAGGCCGAGGTGGGCAGACTGCTTGGGCCCAGAAGTTTGAGACCAGCCTGGGCAACATGGTGAAGCTTTATCTCTACACAAAAAAATACAAAAATTAGCCAGGTGTGGTGGCCTGTGCCTGCAGTCCCAGCTACTCAGGAGGCTGACACGGGAGGATGGCTTGAACCCAGGAAGCGAAGGCTGCAGAGAGCTGAAATGGCACTGCTGCACTCCAACCTGGGCCACAGAGAGAGACTCTGTCTCAAAACAAAACAAAACAAAAAAACAGAAAAAAAAACAACCAACCAAACAACAACAACAAAAAAACTATGATGAACAAATTATCAAAATTTTAAATAAAGGAAGGATCTAGCACTGTAGTTGCATGACAGTACCTCATTCTCCTTACCCCAATTTCAACAAAATTTTATTTATAAAAACAGACCAGAGTTGGGTATGGTGGCTCACTCCTGCAATCCCAGCAACTTAGGAGGCTGAGGTGGGAGGATTGCTTGAGGCCAGGAGTTCAGCTTGGGTGACAGATCCCCCACTCAAAAACAACAACAACAACAACAAAAAAAACAAAAACAGGCCATCATCACGGGTAATAAAAGAAAAAATAGATAAACTGGACTATATCAAATTTAAAACTTCTGTATATCAAAAGGTACAATGAACCCAGTAAAAACACAACTTATAGAATGGAAGGAAATATTTGCAAATCACATCTGATAAGGGGTTAATATCCAGAATATATAAAGAGCTCCTATAACCCAATAACCAAAAAAAGAAAAAAAAGAAAAGAAAGAAAGAAAAAAAGAAAAAGCCACTCAGATTTTAAAATGGGTAAAGGACTTAAAGAGACATTTCTCCAAAGAAGGTATACAAATGGCCACTAAGCACATGAAAGGATGCACAACATCACCAATCATTAGGAAAATGCAAATCGAAACTATAATGAAGTATCACCTCACACCCATTAGGATGGCTATGTAAAAGACCCCAGAAAATAACAAGTGTTGGTGAGGATGTGGAGAAACTGGAACCCCCATGTACTGTTGGTGTGTATGCACCTATATCTACAAAATTGAGTATTATTTAGCCTTAAAAAGGAAAGAAATTGTACTATATGCTGCAATATGGATGAACCTTGAAGACCTTATGCTAAGTGAAATAAGTCAGTGACAAAAATGCAAATACTGTATGATTCTACTTACATGAGGTACCTAGAGTAGTCAAAATAATAGAGACATAAAATAAAACAGTAGAATGGTGGTTGTCAGGGGTTGGGGAAAGGCGGAAAAGGGGAGTTGCTTAACTGGTATAGAGATTTAGCTTGGCAACATGAGAAGAATTCTAGAGCTCTATTGCACAACAGTGTGAACATACTTAACACAACTGAACTCTATACTTAAAAAGCGGTTTAGACGGTAAATTTCACGTCTGTGTATTTTACCACATCTTTAAAAAAGGGAGGCACGAACTAGTTTCCAGGTTTCATTCACATAAACCTTGCAATAAAATATTTACCTTGATGCCCAGGAGGTGAACATCCCCCTCCACACCAGCACAAAGGCAGGCAAGGACCCCCAGTGGCTTTTTCCTCATGACTGGGTGGGGCAAGGGAGAGAAAAAGATGCCTCGAAACGAACTTGGATCTCGCGGCTCCTGGAGCAGGACACTTACCTTGTGGGCACATCAGGGTATTGAGTGCGTTGGAAAACACTTTCCAGCTCCTGCACCTGCAACGGCGTGAACTTCTTGCGCCGAATTCGTGGCTGCATGTTCTCGGGCTGCGGATCCTCCATGGCCGCCTGGGCCGGCTCCTCCAGGGGCTGCTGCAGCTGCCTAGGCTCCTGGTTTCCACCGCCGCCCTCGTGGATCATGCCGCCATAGCGGTTCATGTAATTCTCGTGGTTCACGCCGCCCTCAGGGTTCATATTACCCATGAGGCCTGGAGCTCCTTGGCCAACATGGCCTTCTACCCTTGATGCTGCCCCCAGCTCAGGTGTGGAGCTTATTTTTACCTGGTATACATTCAGGCAGTAGAACTTGGTGTCATGGACGCGCGAACGTGCCATGGCTGGAGTGCTGCGCCCCTTACACAAACCCCGTGGCGTCTGCAGCTGGAGCTGGGGGTCAGAGGGTGGAGCTGGTTCCTGTTCTCATGCTTGGTATTGGTTACAGTTGCAATCGGGGGACTTGCTTATGCGCACAAGCAAGAGAGGGAATGGAGAGGAG